GTAATGCACACTGGTGGTTTTTACAGAAAGCCTCCTCCTGTCTACCAAGTAACCTAAGAGCAAGAGCTGGGAGAAACTCAGACTCTTGACTTTAATTGGGAGAGAGTGTCAACTTTTGGAAGGCTCCATCTTTGAGTGGGGCAGTAAACCATGATTATGGTTGTGGCTGGGAAAACCTGTTTAAATGTGGAGTAAGGTAAGTCACAGGACCAAGAATGCCAGCTTTCTGGACACTGTGGGTTGATTTTCAGCACTGTAAATCCGTCATCCTTTATAAACAGAACAAAGTGGTCAATTTTTCACAGGGCTCTGCCAGCACAGTGGTACCAAGGGCTTAGTGTGGGAACAAAGTCATTAAAAATAACTACTTACAAAGAACTCAGTCATAAATAATGTGCCACAAAGGATTCAAAACTCCAAGACTCAGTTACTTTAGTGTCAAAAACTCAACTACAGGCTGCCTGGCCCTAAAAACAGTGAATCTCCAGGGGACTCCCTGATTCTCTCTATCTATCCCGGGCCTCCATTTTGTCTCCTTTTCTCCCTTCTCTCCTCCCATGCCGCCATTGTCTCTCAGAAGGCTGAGTGGGTCTGTCATCCTGGTTATCAGCTGGAGAAGGAAGGGATGAGAACAAAATGAAAAGCTGCCCCTTTGTCTTTCCACCTGGGCTTCACTTTGAGATGTGCTGCTGTTTTTTCTCTCCCCTGTCCCTGCTGTATTTAAATTGCACTTTCCTCCAGACTTCCTCCAGAAAAAAGAAAGTTACAGAGAGGAGGGAAATTGACGTTTGGGCACTAGAAATGTAAAGGCCCTTCAAGATCTGGGCTCAGTTCTGTCCTTATTTTTCTTGTCCTCAGTGTTTAATAGCTTACTGTTTCCTCTGTGACGTCTGTCTGGCTCTTATTGCATGCAATGATGTAGTAAACTGGCTGTCACTTTCATGTCTCATGCAGATAGATAGATAGATAGATAGATAGATAGATAGATAGATAGATAGATAGATAGATAGATATCTGACTTCTTCTTCTTAGGAATTCAGTAAGCCCAGCCTTTCCACGATTTCTAGACTAAGGATAGCTTTGGTTCTCCACAGATATGGCACACCTAGGAAAATGGCCCTGGTTTGGTGCTCCATTCCCAAACTTAATTACCCCCTCTCTTCCTTGGGTCCCAACTTCATGTCATCGTGAAAAATATGACATTTACTAGGTCAAACATGAACACACCTAACTGCCTGTCTTAGCTTGCTACATGTGAGTCAAGGAAATATTTCTCTTCTTTAACTGGTCTTTCAGCACTTGTTTGTAGTAGGAACTTGAAGGATCCTTTTCTAGTGGCTTTTATATAGATGAGACCATTTCATCTATAAACAGTACAATATTGGTTCACTTCTGCTTTTAACCATTTTCATATATATGTATATACATGCATATATGAAAGCATAAATATTCATATATATGAAACACACACACACACATGTAGCTTAACGGGAGTAGTGGGTAAGGTCAAGTTTAATTATTAATAGTGACCAGATTCAATTGTCACAAGGGAATAATTTCAGTGCATATGAGCATCAGCAGGAAGTCTGATTAAAACAAAATGCTGGGCCATACCCTTGGAATTTCTCATTTACTAGGACTGGCCTAGAGCCCAATAATTAGTACTATTACAAGATTCCAAAAACGCTGATAAACTGGTGCCAGGGCCATCCTTAGAGGACTGCTGCCTTGCACCATAGAAAACCTGCATCTTATTGGGTAACAGATGACTGAGATAGTGAATGGATTCTAAGAGCTTACTCACTAAGCCTGTCAGAAAAATGTGTAGTCTTTACCTTCTGTCTTCTCTGTCTGTCCATGAAATCAAGTTTAAGTTTCTCCCCACCCCGCCCCCACCACCACACACACATCTCTTTCTCTGTCCCTGTCTCCTGTCCTGGAAGGACCAAGTACACAATGACATAGCACAACTAAGCCAGCTTCTTCAATATAATAATACTGTTTCCAAGTTGACGTCCTTATACTTGCTCTTTCCTCTGCCTGGAACCCTCTCTCCAAGTATTTCTGTGATTGGTTTCCTCAGTTCACTCAAGTCTGCCCAAGCAAAACCTTCCCAGAGCAGTTTCTCTAACAAGTGTATCTAAAGGACTACCCTGTCATTCTGTCCTGCTATCATATTCTCTTTCTTCACAGCATCTCTCATTGTTTTTAATACTGATATCACAGCACATATCAGACTATCCAGTAATGTAGATACTATTAAACACAGGATAAATTTACTCCTCACCACAATTCTACAGGTAAGAACTTGTGTTGACACTGATTTTCAAGGCTTGGAGAGAATTTAGTATGCAGCCGAGTTGAACCACATTCTCTGGTCCTAGGACACCTGTTCTTAAACATCATATATCAGAATACTCTTTCATTGACTGGTTAATATCTATTGTCTCAGTGTTAAAAATAAGCACTTGGAAGAGCAGAGATAGATAGATAGTAAAATATTGCTGGTAATGAAATGTCCAGACACCTGACAGATTACTAAGGCTGTGAGGATGAAAAATGATGTATACTTCCCAGCCATCAGCAAGCAATTGAAAACGCCTCCTTTTATGAGAGGGTCAAGACAGTTTCATTTTAGGATCTGTACTTACTGGCAAAATTGATTTCAGTATGTGCTGGGAGAAATACTTTGTTATCTCCTGTCTCTGGCGGAGACTGAAAAGAGGAAACGCCAGGAAGAGGAAAATATGTGTGACATCCATAGAAGGGAGGGTACGTAATTCAGCGAGCAGCCGAAGAATTTGAAGTTGCAGGCCATCTTGGCACTCCTCACAGACCCCACTCACTTCCTTCGGATTCCTTTTCACCTTTGTCACAAAGAACCCGGACCTGGTGCCTCTTCCGTGTTCTCATGCCTGAGCGTTACAAAATGCCATGGCCATGCTCCTCTGAGGAAGAACTGGAAACCAAGTGTCACTCAAAGAACCCCGAGTGGGGATCTGGCACAGGGCTGTGCTGCTCTCCCCTTGGTTCCAGGCTTGGTCTAAGCCAGAGATGCTGGGAATCTCTTTGGCAACATGGTTTTATTCTTTAACTGAAGGCCTCTACCCATCTAGACTAAAGCAGCTGCACTGAAGCCCAAAGATCTTGCTTCCATTCCTTTGGGGACAGTCTAGTCCACTCTTTCTTGTTGCCAGTGCCATAATCAGCTACAGAGGATTCACATTTTAATCTGAACCCTTATAAATATTACTTCAGAAATCCAGAAATTGATTTGTAAGTAACATTCACATATTCAGTTTTGTCATTGTGCTTTATAGGAGGTAAGGTTAAGGGTTTTTTTTTTCTTTTAATTTACAGTTCAAAGCCTACAGACGAAGCATTTCTCTGGGTAGGGAGAAATATAATCTAAAGCAGCCTCATATTTATTTCCCTTCAGAGTCTCATGTTTCCCTTCAGTCATGCTGACACTTGATGCTTTGAGCAAAGCCTCTGCTTTATGCTTCAACAGAAATGAAACCTACGCTGTTCTTAACCATCTAGTATCACCCACTCGCCTAGCTCAGTTTAATATCTGCAACCTGAGGAAGGCCATAGTTAAATCACACACTGGTATCTGACTGCAATCTAGTTACTAGTATTGAAAGAAGATTTATTTGCATGTTGTGACCAAAATTCTCTTTCAGAGTCTCTTCTTCATAGTCAGAGAATGAAAACGTTAATAAAAAGACAATGTTCCATTACCTCTTCACAGATATACAAGATAAGTAAGGAGGCCCTAGATAACATATCAGGAGCTCATAGAATAAATTGAAATAAAAAAGACAAGGCAAACATTTAGATATATGGTTATTTAAGAGTTCCCTGAAATCAAGAAAATTTCAACATATATTTAAAGGGGATACCAAAAGTAAATTTGAAGGAAATTACTCTGATCTGTTCATAAAGAATTTGATGATAAACAAGGTAATAGAGATTTAACTGACCAAGGACTGAGCAGAGAGATGGCTCATCCCAGTTCAGTTCCCAGAATCCACGCCAGGCAGCTCACAGCCACCTGTAACTCCAGCTCCAAGGGATCTGATGCCCTCTTTGGGTCTCCATAGGCACATGTACACACATGCACATATCCATGCATAGAAACACATGCATACATTTGCTTAGAACCAAAAATAAACATTTAGAAAAAAAAAAGGGGGGGACCAGTAAATTCAAAAGGGGAAAATTGTGATGAATCTCAAATCTATTTAGCCACAGAAAAGGATTGGGGCAAATGTCAAAATTGTGAGTTCAATTATAAATATTATCATATTTAGTGAAATATAAAATTGGAGGAGCAAATATTCTGACCTCACTTCCATAAATCAAAAGCAAAGACAAGAGCACATTTAAACACCGCTGATACACAAAGCAAAGAACTTTCAAAGCTCTGAAAGGATTCTAACATCACAGGACAGAAAACAACCACTCCTACCAATGAACATAATTAGGCTCAGCTCACATAATGGCTTAAGAACATTCTCCATTTGGATTACAAAGAAAAAACTCTATCCTCAAACAAAAGACAAAAGCCATGCCAAGTGAATACTAACAAAAGGAATGCGGAGTGCCAAAGCAATGTGAAACAAGAAGTCACTGCGGACCAAGTGGAGGTGACAGGGGCCACCCTTCCTTCCAGCTCCCACAGCATTGTTCTTCAACTGCTTCACCAGACAACTCTAGCAAGTTCTAGAACTACCAGGAATACAGGAATAAACATAGTGTATGAACTACTCCAAACATACAAAAGTACTGGAGGAATATATATATATATATATATATATATATATATATATATATATATATATATCTCCTTTTGTGAACTTGTTACATTTTTAATTTATGTATCTCTGTAAGCTACTTAGGAAAACATTAGGGAGGTGTTGCAGCTGGGAAAGGAAGTCCAAGGGGATGCTTTTTTCTGTATCATCTATTACAATAGAAAAATACATGGAACTAAATAATATTAAAGCAGTTTATTTAGTCTCATTTTATGAAGAGGTACCTTCACTACACAAGAATTAAAGAAAGTGACATTCTCTCCCAAGCCATGAAAAATGGCAGTCCCCTGTTATAAGTATCATGGGTTAAATGGCAAGAAGCTGGAACATACGATGCTCTAAGAGGGTCAAGTCTCCAGGCTCCCACAGGAGGAGACAGTATCAGAGACTTCAGGGCACAAGTCAACAGGAGATCAGCCAAGTCTAGCTGAAGCAGAGCCCCAGAGAGACAGCCAAACAGCCTCCGGTGATGCTGTCTCTATGGGCAGAGATGAATTTACCACAATGCTAAGTCATCAGAGTCATAGACTATCCCTTCCCAAGAGTCCTGGGAAGAAGGGCAAGTTTTGGAGTTTACAATGTTCTATGGGGCAAAGGAAAGTCACCCTGAACTAAGGGGGCATTTCTGGCAAATTTACTAAAGTGAACCACCATAGACAAATATTGGAAACTAGAAGGATTCTGCTGCACACTATGATGTGGTTCCTTGGTCATAGTCATTTATTTTGTATCTGTTCTTTCTAGTTCTAGCTACTTTAACAGGGTATCATGGTATCATGTGGATCATGCATAACAATACTCTATACATTACAAGATATAATGGTGGAACGGACATAAGAGAGCATTTCCCAAAAGGGAAAGAGGAGACAGAAGCAAGGAACGAGAGTCCAGAGTGAGGTCAAAGCCGGCAGCACATATTCATTTCCATCATGAAGCTTAGAAGCAATGCAATAACTTTGGGTTGGATGCTCCAGGCTCAGCTGTTGGGCTCCTCTGCAGATGGATTTTTCTTTGGGCTGCCAGTTCACAAAAAAAAATGACACAGAGACTTATTAATAATTATGAAATCTTGGCCTTAGTTTAGGCTTGTCCCATTAGCTCTTATAACTTAAATTAATCCATATCTTTTTTTTGGGGGGTGGGGGGTTTCGAGACAGGGTTTCCCTGTGTAGCTTTGCACCTTTCGTTGAACTCACTTGGTAGCCCAGGCTGGCCTTGAACTCACGGAGATGTGCCTGGCTCTGCCTCCTGAGTGCTGGGGTTAAAGGCGAGCGCCACCACCGCCCAGCTAATCCACACCTTTTAATCTACGGTCTTTTACTTGGCTTGGTTACCTTTACTCTGTACTGCTCATCTGCTTCCTCAATGTCTGGCTGGGGGCTCCCCCTTTCTTCCTCCCAGCCTATACCTCCTGCCTAGCTATTGGCCATTTAGCTTTTTATTAAACCAATCACAGTGACACATCTTCATGCAATGTAAAGGAATATTTTACATTCCCCCTTTTTGTTTAAATAAAAAGGAAAGGTTTTAACTCTAACATATTAAAACTATAAGCAATAAGAACAATTATCAGGTAAGAATTATAATTTACATTGTCCAGTCCATTTGTATTTGGCATATTCAGAAAAAATACTCCATTTTTTATTTTATCTTAATGAGTCCAAAGCTTTGTTCCTAATTTACATTCTATCATAACTAAAGAAAACTGCAACTATAACTACCTAGTCTTCAACCCCATCAAAGATCCCAGAAGGATATAATGTTACCTGAGTAAACAGGAAGACCACTTCCAAATGACAGAGACAACTGGCTGGATGGATGGTCACCAAAAGTTCCACTGCAACATTGGGGCATCCATCTTCAGTCTATAGGCCTAGGAGACCTGACAGACTTTCCTATGAAGCAGGAATTCTGAAGGACTTCTCTGCCTTATTTTGGCAAAATTCAGCTATTGCTTTCCTGTGTGTCCTGCTGGATTTCTGGCAGACTTTACTATAAAGCAGAAGTTTTGAAGGATTGTCCCACCTTATCTTGGCAAAGTTTAGCAATAGTTTTCTTTGTGTCCTGCTTGTCCAGTTTGTACAGCATACAATCAGCAGTCACAGCAAGGGCAGTTTCTTGCCCAAATGGCTAGCTTTGCTATGAAATCAAACTTCGTATGGAGTTTCTTGGATGCTTATCATCTTCTCTGAAGTTAATTGGTGCTGCCAGGAGCACATATATCTCACTGTCTTGAAAAGCCAATATGTTAACAAAATATTTCAAATGCTATATCCTATAGGTCTTTGAAATGTTTGAAGGCCATCTATCTTTCTAAAATATATCTTTGTTTAACTTTGAAAACATACCTAATATGACTACAAGTTTGATTATTATAGATAACTAATTACTAACCTGCATTTCTTAATTACACATTACATTTTTAAATAAGCTACATAAGCAAAAAACTCTAAACAAGATTAGAAACATACACTTAGTATAACAAAAATAACTTTAGATTTGTATGAATATTCCAAAATTCATACCAATGTAAAATATTTGAGATTAATAATTGTTTTTTTATCCTATATTCCTATATCCCCAGTAAATGATTGCAAATGTTCATAATCCACCGAATGACCAAAAACCATCCACCCCACCTCATGGGAATGTCAGTGTTCTGTTCTCTAGACTGCTTCTTGTTTCTGTGAGCCATGGCATCTTTTTAGGGAGCCTGATTGGCTTACATGCAACAATAACAAAAATATTTCTCACAGTTTGGGAGGCTAAGAAGTCCTAGATTAAGTGCCAACAGATTTGGGATCAAACAAGAACTCATTTCCTAGTCCATAGATGCCCATCTTCACATTGTGTCCCCACATAGCAGAAATGGCCAGGGAGTGACTTGGGGTCTCATCAATAAGGAAACTTACTCCATCCATAAGACTACATCCTGTTGGAAATCTAGGTTTCAACACATGAATTTGAGGGACATAAACATTCATTTGAGTGCATATCTAGTTAAGTTACTAATACTTGGATTTTTTTTATTTCTTTTGTTAAAAAGTCTGAAGATTCAGTCTCTACAAAAAGCTAATTTCCTTTTGCCCATGAGACTATGCTGTGCTGACACAATGGGATTCGTTTAGCAACTGTCTTTTTCTCCTGCTTTCTCAGCCTGGCTGGGAGTACATAGTGAGTTATAGAGAACTCATGCCCATGAGTTATAGAGAATATTCTGAAAGCTAGAGACTGTATGCTCAATGACTTCTTGCCTCTGTGCAACATGAAGTTCAAAATTCCCCCACACAGGTAGCCTGAGAGCAGCCACAGGCAGGTCCCAGGGAAGGTCTCTATGAATTGTGGTTTTTATTCCATCAGCTATCATCTAGACCAGTTGTGACCTATAGGAATTTTCATACACACACACACACACACACACACACACACACACACACACACACACACACACGTATATATACCAGGTAGATCTTCCTGCTGATTTAAGCAGGTGTAGGCATTGACTGGGGCAGGGCATTCTGGAATTATCATTTATATCCTGATATATTGGGAATTGGCCAAACTACTTATATAAACCTTTGAAATTCTGATAAGCATGTTAAATTGAATCAGGTGCCCCTCTTGGCTTCCAATTATATAAAAGGCAAAAATGGACCATAGTAGTTTCCAAGTTCCACAAAAAAAAAAAAAAAATTTTATATCAACTTTCTGACTTGATTTTTTTCTTTTTATTTTCATTCTCATAGTGTTTCTCTGTCTTCAGGTTCCATATAGCTTGCTCCCAGGACAGAGAGCCACTTCTCTGCAGTGAGAAGTTCAGCCACCACCTTCCTTTCTTGCTCACAACACAAAAATCTTCGGCAGTTTCTTCTGATTTCACAGCTTCTGTGCAACAGCTAGAAGAGTCTGATCATGCAGGCCTTTCAGTGAAAGAAAATTAATTAACAGAGAAAACAAACAAAAAAAAAAACAACCATTTATGGGCAATCTGAGTTCACCCACCATTCCCTGGTGGGGTGCTGTCTCTTTAGGACAATAATCACTGCAAGACTCCAGACTATTGATTAACGGACAGCGAATTTTAAAATGTTCTTCTTACCTTTGACCTTTAAAGAGGAAACACTTTCAAGTCACAGAAAGTTTTGACGAAGTCAATCTTTGCTAAGTTGTTATTGACTCTTTGGAAAGTACAGGAAAAAAAAAACAGTTTAAGTATTTTTCTTCAAGGCCTTCAAGGCAATAGGGAGGAAGGATTATTTTCTCTAAGCTTTTCCTCTTAACACTGGCTATTACTTCACAGTTGAAGAACTGGTCTTTCCCAAGAGGTGAGAATATTTGGGGTAAAACCAGATCCGTCACTGCTAGCTCAGGTGTATATCATATCATATGGGCCAACTCCTGCCTGAATGTCTCCAGCTACCAGGGAGGAGTCAGTTTCGGAAGTAAATTCACCATGAGATGAAGACAGATATTTCTGATGTTTCCCATGGTACCTCCCAAGTCCAGGAAGAAGCTGTGACACAGCCACATGAGATGGATGTTGGTGAACAGAAAAGCTGGAAAATGTCCCCAAGTAACCTTACATTTTTATTAATTATGTATTAGTAATGTGCTTATATACTAGTGATCAGTATTAATTCTTTGTAAACTTCAAAGAAACAAAACCACCAATAAACTTTAACTGGTGCCTTTTAATTAATCATAGTTTATAAAACTAAAACAAAACTATTTTTGTCTTCCTCAAAGTGATTTTTTTTTTCTTTCACCATTGAAGAGAATGTAGCATCTACCTCCAGCAAGCACACACAGTCACCTTACAGGCAGTTTTCCATGAATTTCTAACAGAGAGAGAGATATACAGAGAGAAACAGACTTAAAATATCTTTCCCATCTGTACCCTCAGTCTCTTCAGGAATGCCCTGGACATGTTTATGCAGTGCTATGTTCCATTACACCATCATTTCAACCAAAACCAGATTTTTTTCCCCCTCTAATCATATATTTCTAAGTTGATTTTTTTTTTACTGTTATTTCTAGCAGACTTAGAAATGCATTATGGGGTTTGAATAGCATAGATATATTGATCTCTAGACTCTGGGAATACATTCACTGTTCTATCAGACTTGCCTAGTTCCTGCTTGTCCCTCAGCACATAGCCCAGAGTGCAGCTGACCAAATCTCAATAGCAAGATGAGTGTGAGGTGCAGATCTGTGCCTGGAGCCCCCAGAAACTGGGAAAGCTGTGCATTCTGGGAAGTTTCAGTAACGGTCAAGAGATTTTTACTAGGACCACCAAGAGAAAGAATTTTGGTGATGATGAAGTGCAGCTGGAGTTACCCAACATGCCTGGTGTAGACGCAAAGCGATCCAACCTTTTACTGTACATCATTAAAGTCTTAAACATATACCCATGTGTGTTAGTCAGGGTCTCTGTGAGAACGGAACCAATAGACTGAACATATATTCAATGGAGATGTATTAGCTTGCCTCAGAGGATATGGTGTGGGCGGTCCAACAATAGCTGCCATTGCATTAGTCAGTCTTAGCTGCTAGCTATTTATTCCATGAGACTGGTCACCACAGAAATCTCAGTCTCAAACGGAGGTTTGGAGAATTCCAGGAATGCCTGGGCTTCAGTTTGAGTTGAAAAGCCAAAGAAGCTAGGTTCAATTTCAGTGAAGGATGTCTGCAGCAGCAGCAGCCACAGCAACAAGGTAGATACCTTCACCAGCATGAGGCTAAGGAAGCAACAGCTTTCCTCTCAGACCTCTTTTTATCTAGGCTACCTCCAGAAGGTGTGCCCACTCTGCAGGAGAGTCTTTGGCCCTCCATTGATCCTTCCAGAAAACGTCCTTGTGGACACACTCAGAAACATATCTCTTAGTTAATTCTAGATACAAGTTTTCAACCAGCTTAGCCATTCCGACATGCAACCCAAACATTCTACACTTACCAAAAGATGCGTTCTCACGATACTGTGTGTTACAAATCTTAAAACCTTTATTTGAGTCTCCCCAATTAGAAACAATAAAATTGTGCCATTGTGAGAATAGTTGCATACTCAATGGTGGATATTTAGCAAGGAAAAGAAGAGGCTTGATATGAATGTAACAATGTATAAGTCTTGAAATCATCCTGCAAAGGAAAGAAACCTCAACATGAAAGAATATATAGTGTATAGTTCTACTTATTTAAAACCATAAAATTCATTCAATCTATAGTGGTATAAAATATATTACTTATCTTGGGCTGAGGTGATCGGACTTATCTCCTATAGGGGGGCAAAACAACTAACAAAAGTTGTAGGGATGTTTGTTTATTGATTATGGTGGTGGATCAAAGCACATACAGCTGTTAATATCCAATAGACACTAATATATTCAAGGATTATTGCTCCTCAGTGAGGCAGATATCAAAAATAAAAATTAAATTGAACAGACTTGAAATCTGTTTTTATTATCATGAGGCAAGAATTCAAAATAAATTTTTGTCTATGTTCTTAACAAATTCTGCATTAATGGTATGTTCTATTTGCAAGTCAATTCAGAGTACTGGTAAAACATTTGACTTCCAATTCTCTATCTTTACAGGTAACTGTTTGGAGGACAACTTCTCCACTGTTGCAGATGTTTTGGGCTCACTTCGAGGATAGTTCGCTGTGTGGTAAATTTATTAATGTCCAACCATTGCTTCACTGAAGAAACAGTGCTTGCCTTTGCTAGTCTTGACATTGTCACCCTTTAAGGCTAATATAAAGCTGTGGAGATGCTGCTGCTGAGTTAGAACAGGAAAGAGGCTAGCTCTTGTGCACTAAGTGAACCCACACAAAACTGATGGATAACCGTACACTGAGATGAATTATCCCATCCCTGATTCCTGTATCTGAGCAATACACTTGAAGAACTGTGGGCTCAGTGATTACAAAGCTGAAGAAGGACATCTTTCATCACTCACTAATCACTCCATATGCAGATGGACACTAGAACCTTGTAGCACTGACTCTTCATAAGCATGTATATGTTATTTCCTATTTTTAAAATATACAATGCAATTAAAGGTTAGTCACAGTTTTCTTAAGAGAGGCTCAGAAGCAATAACTACTTACTTCTCAAGGCTGGGACCCAGTCTGAGCTTAAAGTCTAGAGAATTCCTGGAATTCCTAGTCTTCAGTCTAGTTTAAAAGTCAAAGAAGGGTTGGAGAGATGGCTCAGAGATTAAGAGCATTGACTGCTCTTCCAGATGTCCTAAGTTCAATTCCCAGCAACCACATGGTGGCTCACAACCATCTGTAATGAGATCTGATGCAGACAGAACACTGTATACATACTAAGTAAAATAAATCTTTTAAAAAAAAGGAAAGCCAAAGAAACTGGCTTTCAGTGAAATCTTTGTATTTAATTGTTCTCATTTATGCAGCTATGTGCACAAATTCAACTAAAGTATTTTATATCTGTATTTCTTTTTTCATTGTATTCATTATTGTTTTTATTTTATGAATATTACTAAGATAATTTTTATAGTGGAGAGATGTTTAAAATATTCACTCAAATTTTCTGGCATGCTAAGCACATGAGTGAGTAGATTATTCGTTTGAGTAAGGAAATGTCAGAATATGAACCAAAATATACATTTAAATGAGGTTTTCAAATGTGACAATTTACTATAAAACAAAGCCAGATTTAGTACTATGTATGTTATTCCTTATTCATGCATCATTTGCTATCTCTTACCAAAGCATTAGTACAGAATAAAGATTGTTATTAACTTGTTATCCATGCCACCATGAAAACTGCTTTGGTACTTATTTTTATTTTTGTTTAATTAATAAATGATTTGTAATTGTTGATACTTATGATCTTTACTAAAATAAAAATTCAAAGACCATCTTCTTATTGGCACTGGTGAATTTATAGCAAACATAGGTGAAATGAATTGAGAAATGAGAGGAAAAATACAAAATCAGGTTTAGTGCCTGTGTCCCTACTGAAGCTCTTGGTTACACTTCAGGCCACTGAGTCACCTGAGCCGTCGGACTCTTTTCCAAACTTAAAGTGAAATCTTGCATTTTGAAAGCCCCTTTCCTGGACTCCAGCATCATAGCTAGTGCTTACAAAGCATTTAGCATGTGGGCAACTGCACCAGCCACCTTACAGCAATCACCCCAGCTATTTTATAATCCTAGAGTTTTAATGAATCTACTTCACAGATTAGAAAGCAGGCATGGAAACTGGATAATTTGCTCATAGTCACAATAATAAGGGGTGGACTCAAGCAGTTCAAGCCTTTGCTCTCTTATTCTAAAGTTTAACACTGATGCTAATGATTGTGATAAATGTCAAACTTTAAAGGTTCATCAATAAATTCTATCAATAAATTCTATTTCAATTTGGATTCTGTTTAGAAGGCCAAAAGCTTCCTGGCAAGAAAACTGAAATCTTGGAAGTAAAAATCACACTGTGAGAAGAGGGTTCAGCATCCACTATAATTCTAGTCAAAATTTCTACTCTTCTCCTACAAGCACGTTTATAATTATTGTTACTGCTCTTTTAATCTCTGTCCAGGCAGTCAATATGACAGCAACTTACCTTGAAAATGTCATTATTTTTTAGTATAAAGAACAAGTCTGCCATGGTCATCAATTCTGAATACCATCAGTATGATAAAAAAAAAAAAAGTCTATTCATCTCCTTGGTGTATTTTTTTTTTAAAGAAAAGAGTTTTCAGGCAGGATTTCTGGTTAGAGCTAGCAGAAGCCGTGTGCTTCCAACTTGAACAATGTCCCTATGTTAGTTCACAAGAGATGAGGAGAAGGGTAGGGAAGACAAAGGACTATTCTGTTGCATTGAATTAAAGTGGTTATATAAATCTCTGTCACATTTAGATAGTATGTTCATGCATAAAATCCTTGAACTCAAAGTAATTTTACAGAAAAAAAAAATGCATGCACCGAGTGCTCATCTCAGTGTGTTCAACAATTCCAAAGACTATCTTCCTTCAAGAGTGAAAAATCACTTGGTACAAAAGGCTGTGTCCATTATTGCTGAGGACAAGGGGCCGAACTGTACTCTGGGCTTTGGGGCGTTTTGTCTGCATGGTATAAACAAAGCACTATGCAAACATGGTAGACAGATTTGTCCTTGAGTCTATCCTCTCTCCTTGGAGATGTGGAGAAATGTGATTAAAGTCCCAAAGTTTGTCTTCTCAGTAACACTTTCCTCAATCATTAGCTCCTTCTCATATGACCTGTTCCTTTTGGTTTCTTCTTTTTCTTTTAAATACGTTTAATTTTTTTGAAAGTTTTGTGTGTGTGTATGTGTGTGTGTGTGTGTGTATGTGTGTGTGTTTATGTGTGTGCGTGTGTATGTGCACGTGTATGCATCCACATGTGTTCCGGGAAACAACTCAGGTCCTCTGCAAGAGCAACATGCACTCTACACTTGTAAGCCATCTCTGCATATTACTCTCTCTCTCTCTCTCTCTCTCTCTCTCTCTCTCTCTCTCTCTCCAGGGTTTTACTACATGGTCCCGGGTGACCATTACTTACTCTGTATCCCAAAGTGTCTTCAAACATATAATGTTCTCATTCCTCAGCCTCCCCAGCTCTAGGCCTGTGCCCAACACTTATTTCTTTAGTGTTTGCCTTATTACCTATTTAAGAAACACCTTGAGTGAGTCAATTCCACATACTGTTGTTATTGTATAGTTACCTATTTACACATTTGTGAGGCTCATTGTTACCAACATGTCCTAAAAGAGGGAAGGTATTCAATTTTCTGTCCCATTAGCTTAGTGCATTGTCTGTCAGCAACTGTTGCTTGAGTCTGTGGTTCCATGTCATTCTAGTATTATAGTTAATAAGTACTTACTGAACACAGTGGAGTTTGGTTCTCTTGTTGCTGTTAGGGTCATTGTGCTTAGATTGTCTCTGCTCCCCAGGGCTCCCAGTTTTCCAGCAAAGAGGGGACTTAGTAAATAGTTAATGATAAACACAGCATGTGAGAGGATTCTGACCAAGAACATGGGGGAAGTAGGGGCTGCACAGGGAACATTCCTATAGTCTGCATGTTCAGGCAGTTATGATGGTTCATTGTGGCAATCCACTTCTCCCCAAACTGGCTTTTCATTGTTAACTTCTACTTTACAACAACTCATCTGAATTTCTTAGCTGAAATTGAAAGCAATCTTTACTGAAATCGTTTTTCAGCTGAAAAATGTAGCCTTTTCTGAACTTAAGACGTTTTAACAAAGCCAGTTTTCTTTAGATGAACATTCTAGAGCTACCACTGAAACACTTTTAAGACTTGTGAATTGAGAAGATGAGGAACTTTATGACACAGTAAATAAAGACAATTCAACACACTTACATGTAGAATCCAAAGGACTGCCCGTTAGAAGTGATTGCAGAAGACACTTCCCTGCATCTTCCTTCAGCCTGATGACCCCGGACCTGGCTGGTCCACACAACAGATAATTATAACCACTGTAAAGACATCATCCAGGTACAAAAGAAGAAACAATGTTTTACTTCCTTGGGACTTCCTGGAAAAGGATCTCATTTGTTTCCTACCTACGCCCGTTCCTTTCATTAATGGTCAATGCTGTTGTCTTCTCAAGCCTTTCTGCAGACAAAACTCTCAGCCCCTTTAACTAACGCCCTCATAGTCCATTACTTCTTAGTCATTAACAAATATCTGGGGAATGCCAACTTTGTTCCAGACTCACAGACAGACTGTGAAGATGTGGGAAGGATGAAAATACTGTTGAACCCTTTGAGGCATCGCGTCTCCACTTTTTACAACAATGTCATCCATGTCTTATTTCAAAGATATTTCCATGTGGTCATCTCATCTCAGCAGATGAGATTGCATTATCTTTGAGAAAAAAATCATTTCATACTATTCCTACAAGTAGATTTTCAATAATAAAAATTAGAATGTTGTTTTTGGTTTTCTTCTAAGGTGTATGGGGGCATATGTTTCCAAGTGTGGGGCATACATGCGTGTGTGGATACACATGTGCATGTGGAGGCCAGAGCCTGAAGTCTGGGGTCTCCTTTGACTGCTCTCCTCCACTCTTGGTTTGCAGTAGCTGGCTCTCTCACTGGATCTGGCACTCTCTGACTCAGCTAGTCTAGCAAACCAGCTTGTCTCAGGGACAGAATTACAGATGTGTTCCCTGCCCACCTGGCTTTCACATGGGTCCTAGCAAGCTGAACTCCCATCCTCACACTGATACAACAAGCTCTCATCCACTGAGCCATTGCCCTAGATCTTTGATTATTTTTCTGCTTGAAATGTTGAGCCCACGTCCTCCTTCTCAACTACCACTCAACTTTTAACATGCCCTAGAGATTCTATGTTTATCCTGTTAGATTCCTTCTGTCTATTTGTTCTGTTGGAATGATGTTTCATTTCTATTCATAGATGCAGTGTACTAAATTTTCAGGATCTGATACTGTTTCTAAACGGGACTGTATGCATTTATTTAAGATGGAGTTTTAAAGAGATGAACCATCCATAGAATTTTATGAAATGCCACTAACGACTTTCTTACAGGGGTCTTGTTAGATAATTTTTAACCATCAATAACACATACACCTGCTGTATCAAGAAACCTGAAGACATCCAAAATACTTGAGGGAAAATGTTTGCATTATGGGGTCAAACACTTTTTTTGAATTCAGTGTTCGTGGATCTCTGAAAATTATGTGGCTTGCTAGCAATTATCACTTAAGTAAAATGTTCTTATTGATGAAAAGCTGTTCTTATTAATAAAAATCTATATACTAGATATTTCTTATTTGTATAATAGTTTCTGGAATATGTGTATGTAAATAGTAAAAGACTACTTTGTATGTAGATGTAAAAGACTATCCTCTGAATAGTCTTTGCTATTTGGTCTAAAACTTTAAGCAGTTCTAATTTTTAAAATGTTGACAGGTATTTTTATATAGCTACAATTCTTTCCATGTCTTCGGTTGCAATTCACATGAACTTTATATTTTTTTAGAGAACAACAAACTAGAAAAGAGAGAGATGATTGTTAAGGAGGTAAAGCCGACTTGGGTTGCAATCACAGAGTCTACAACACATGTACTTTTTATCCTTGTATGGCTTAGCACCCTTCTCTGAGCCTCAATTTCATTTTTTGGAAAAGTAACTAGGTTGAAACTCTTTGGAATGCATTAGACTTGTGTATCAAACCTCACTCTCATGACCGAAGTTTCCTGAACTCAGCGACTCGTTTAATTTATTCATGGGTACCTCCACAGAGCCTGTAAGAGTGCATGCAGCATGTTTCCAAACAGTTACTGCTGGAGTGAATGCACAGCACATAATGGATGTGGGTAAGTGTGGTTTTGATGTTTTTCTCAGGGCCACCTTGAGCCTAATTTCTTCTTGGCAGTTTTAGCCCTGGGCACTTTGAAGATCTGCCTTTCATATGTAAAGTGGGAGTTAAGTAAATAGTGATTGACTTCCTTTCTCCCTTTTAACATTGCAGCATCTGTTCCAAGACCAACCCTTCCTTATGGCCTCTTGGTGTAAACAGTAGAAAAACAGAGACATTTTTGTTGCCCTCGGCATATTTTAAACTCCTACTTATTTTGAGTTTTCACATTTTGTTATGAATTTTCTCATTGGAATACTTCACATTTTTCTTATTCAATATGCTTCTTCCTCCATTAATGTTATGTTCTCAAACTCCCTATATAGCCACACTGCAGTTCTTTATATCTTCTATTAGCCCTCTCTCCTAGGTATGGCTGGCAATGTCCTATCATTCAGTAGACTGCTTTTCAGCGTGCTGAATGTTTTCTTTGTTGTGCAGAAACTTTTCAATTTCGCTTAATACTGTTTGTCAATTTTTAGTTATTCCCCGTGCTATTGGAGTCCTCACCAAAAAGTTTTTACCTATGCCTGTAGCTTGAAATGTATTCTTCCATTTTCCTCTAACAGTTTCAGCATTTCAGGTTTTATATTAAAGTCTTTGATCCACTTTCAATTGATTTTTGTATGTGTGTGTGCAGGGTAAGAGATACAAATCTAATTACACTCTTCTGCACATGGGAATTCAGTTTCTGCAGCACCGTTTGTTGAAGAGGCTTTTTTTTACAATGAATATTATTGACATCTTTATAAAAAATCAGTTGGCTGGGGCTGTTGCGATGGCTGGGTAGGTCAAGGTGTTCGCTGCCAATCCTGTGCCTGAGTATACTGCATCCCCTGAGTTTGTATTCAGGTCAGCTCCTGTCAGTGCTGGAGTGACTGGTGAGATCATTAGCTGTTGGTCAGAGGGGACTTGGGTATGTGGTAATAATACTGCTCAGCTCCTGCTCTATCTGCTAGAATAGTTTGGTGGTCGACTTCTCCAGGATTCTTCCTCCATTACCTGGGTGGTACAGGCAGAGGGTGCCACCAGCACCAGCTCCTCCCAGCTTCTGCTCCTTGCAGCCCCACCATGTGAATCCGGTTCTCACTGCCTCTGCTCCTGGAGACTAGCCTTTGCTTGTGTGTGTGGGCCCTGCCACGCGGCTCTGCACTCTGATTTGGGATCTGTTGTGTCCTTTGTAAATCTACTTCTCAATATTTGTCCCACTGCTGTGCACTTTCCACATATACCTTTTTCTGCAGTCATGAATTTGATCTTTATTTTCAGATTCATGGGGATGCAAGAGTGAGAGAGACACTGTGTTTTATAGTAATTTTAACAGGCCTGTCAGGAGCTGGGTTTGGAGCTTGGTGCTAGGGTACTTTCCTGACATGTGTGAGGTTCGACCCCCACACCACACAAATAAAAATAAGGAATAAATTCAAATGAAAAACCTTTCTCTATTTTCATTAGTATTTATATACTAACTTTTAACTCTTGGTTGCACTAATATATATATATATTATATTTTAGATTTATGAATATCAATTTGAAATGTGAGATTTTAATCATTAAAATATAACTTCAACATTATATCAGTAGCATTTTACATTAACATTTACTTCTCCAGTTTGTAGATGAATTTCTAAATGGTCTTATTAAATAAAAGACATGTAGACAAATATAGGGGTGAAAACCTTAGAGAGATCAGGGAAATAGGGAAAGTCACAGCTAACCTTACCTCACCAACTCTGTAGCTTCCAAATGTGAGTTACTTCCTGTCAACCCACACACATATGCCTTGCTGTTCTGTCATCTGATTTGCTCTCTGCCCAGCTACATCACTTCCTCTTCCTACACAACTCTGTCACTTTCTGTCTGTCTGCACAGACCTCCAGACCTCCATGGTTAACTAGTGTTGGAATTAAGGCATGTGCCACCACACCTGCCTCTGTTTCCAGTGTGGACTTGAATACACAGAGATTAAGGGCATGTGCTACCATTGCTGACTTCTTTGTTTACTTAAAATGGCTTGTTATTTCCTCTGATCTCCAGGCAAGCTTTTATTTATTAAAGCCCAAATAAAATATTACCACATTTCAGCACAAATAAAATATCACCACACCAGTTTATTTAAAAATAAAAGGTCTATGCTAATTTTGGTTTTCAATGTATATTTTCCTGTATTTGGACTCACTGCCTTTATTTACAAACCTTAGTTAATATTTCATCATTTTGAACCACTATGAATTATGAAGGAAAAATGACAGGGGAATTTCCATTGTCTCCATGTTTAGATGGTCAGAAGTGAGAATGACTGTGGAGCAAAGGCTGCCATACTTGGAACAGCATCTTCCCACACCGCCTGGTGCTGTCAATCAGGCCAGGAAGAGCTGGCTCCTTCTGAACAAAAAGAAAAAGGATGAGGGTTGTGTTTGGATAGGCTGAGATTTCATTTGTCATTCTTCTGGAAAATTAAAGCCTGATACACACACACACACACACACACACACACACACACACACACACACACACACACTTCTATTTGATTCCTTTGAGAGTGTAAGAGTATGGTATAATAATAATCCCAAGCATATAAGCACCAGGAGCTACAAGACTGATGCACTGTTTCCTATTTTGTGGGCTGAGGACAAGATGCTCAGATGCACATTTAGGGAGCTTTATGGGAAACAGGATCCTTTACACAGCAATATGTATCCCCACTTTTAATTCCATTCCAAATTAATTTTATGACTTCTCAGAGAGCCTGTTCAATTCTCTAAACACATCATGAAATTTTGATTACACACTTAATGAGGTTTTTGCATGGATCTGCCTTATTTCCCAAGCCCCTACATGCTACTATATCTATTCAACTCAGCAGGCCACGTCTTAAATAAACCATTCAGGGAAACTCATTCTCCTTTAATAATAATTTATTAAAGATTTATTTTATTTTTTAATTATGTTTATGACTATATGTCTGGGGGATGTATATATATTGTACAGGTACCCACGGAGGCCCTAAACATCAGATAGTCTTGGAAATGAAATAATAGGCATTGTGAAATGACCAACATGGGTGCTAGGAGCTGCAAGAATAGTAAGTGC